TAAAACACAGCTAAGCACTCGTACAAGATATATCATAAATAAAAATATATTCAAATTAACAGACTAAGCTGCAACTTTTCTGGGTACTCAAAATCTCATTCTGTAGAATCCCTGGGAAACTTATCTGAAATGCCTAAACACTACTGGTATATTATATTTAAAGAAAAAAATGCAAAGCTACAGAAAGAAGAATTAAATATTTTAAGGTTCAACCAGTAAGTCAAGAAATGGTAAAAAAATTCTTCCTAAGAAAATTGGGAAAAAATCTACTGAAACAGTTTCAATAACATTTTTCATTTATTTTGAAAATAAAATTTTGTTGACTTTACTTTGAAAATGTAAATATTCACTTACTGCTTTAACAATTACCATTTTCCTTTGCTTGGAAATTACATTCTTTAGAGTCGGTTTTTCTACTTTAAATTCAAACTGAAAACCACGGGCATGTATAGTTTTTCATAAAGCATGGCTTTCAAATACATTTACTTTTAAATATAACTTGTAAATACTGGCACCTTAACATGCAAAATATACTCTAATGAAGGAGTGGCTGTTAACCTCTAACACAATTAAATCAATTAAAAGTTAATCAATTTCAGATATTTTTAAACGGTAATACTGCCCAGATTGCTAGGTAAAAGCAGCCTTTTTACGAGTTTGTGAATTTTTACAAGGACCCTCATAGATAAAGGATGCATCATTTGCAAACATTTTACAGTATCATGCACAGTCTAATCCACAGAGTTATAACAGAGTCCTTCCCCCGCATTTACAGTACATGCCTTCAGTAGTCTGACCTGGCTGTGATACTGCAGTGGCTGTAAACTGAGTAGCCCATGGCGGATTCTTCTGTCCTCCAAACTGAGCCATGATGCAAAAGGAAAAGAAACCTTCGTCTGTTTGTCTTCTATAGCAGCGATCTATTAAGAAAGGATCCACATTTTAAAGTTCAGCCAAACCACAGATATCACAAAGTGATATTTGAAAGAAATGTTTAATGTATCAAGGACATCTTCGTAGATCTAAGTAGACATAACTGGAAGTAGAACAAGGGCAAAGAACATCTGAAATGCAGCAAAAATGTTTTACATCAAGTACATCACCAAAACTACCCTAGTTTAAAATATGACTTAAGGAGTACAAGAAAGGGACTCATGCGACTACAAATTGTCGCATTTAAACGGAAGACCATCTGCTGTGTCTACCCAATTGTTAACAAAAAGAAGTTCACAAGTTTATATTCGCAGGAAACATAGCCTGCGTGTTTCGTACGGCAATAGGTTGGGGAGTAAAGCCAGAGAAGTGATGAAGCCAGGAACGGAAATTAGGACGAGACCCCCCAAGAAAGGTTTTAAAGAATATCATTTAAATAACGAACATCTCTTTACTTTCTCTAGTAAAGAAACCGTGGAATTCTTTTCCATCCCCTCCCTCGAGGGAAAAGGCAGTTGGGATAACGGATGCCCCTTCAGGAACCGCTGCGAAGACCCCTCCCGCCAGTTCAAACCAGAAAAGGCGAGGACCTCCGCCCGCGCACCCCTCCCCCCGGCCGCCGCGACTCGGAAGGGCCAGAGCTCTGCCATCCATCTTCCTCAGGCCCCAGCCGGCCGCAGAACACGGAAGGCGGAATCTACCGACCCACTACGTGGGTGAAGCGCTAACGAGGGGACACTGAGAGCTGCGGTCTCCTCAACCCGTGGACCGGACGGAGAAAGCCAACATCCCTCAAACCGCATGCTGCCGCGAGCCGCCCCAATGCCCTGGGCCTGGAGGCCAGGAGGCTAAAACCGCAGCGGCTCGGGGGTGATGGGCGGCGGGGGGCAGGCTGAGGGCTGCTGAGGCGAGGCTGAGGGGCGCTGGGGGCACCTGAAGGGCCGCGGGGAAAGAGCGAGGCGGTGGGGGAGGGGCCGGCCGCGCGGGGCCTGCTCCGACCCGCACAAAAGGGACCGCGTCCCTCCCGCCCCAGTCCCACAAGAGCCCCACCGTCGCCGGCCTGCGGCCTCCGTGCTACCAAAACAGTCGCTCCTGGCCCTTCCGCGGATCCGAAAGGATGTTAAGAAGCCTGGCTTGACCGCCCGCCGCTCCAACCGCGCGGACCAGACCTTCACCTGAGTCGGGTCCCGGCTAACACCGAAGCCATTTCAAACCCGTCAGCCTTAGGCGCATGCGCCAACTTCCCCCTCTTCCTCCACGCCTCTCTCCTCCTTCCAACTCCCGGAGGAGCGGCGCTTACGGCTTGACGTTCTACGTGCGCGCTCCCCCGCCCGCTTCAATACGCTCGCCCCTTTCACTGCGCGGCTGGAACTAGAGCGCGCCTAAGAAGGGTTACCTTGGCTTCGCTTAACAATGAGCAGAGCTACGTCTTCCGCTCGCTGTGAAGGAAGGACTTTCCGGAGGGTGGAAAGGAAAGAAATGGTGGTCACGTGATGCGATCGTGTTCGCCGCCATTTTATGCTTTTTCCTTTTTTCCCCCTAGTTCAATAACTTGGGAGAATGAATATATCTTGTAACATCTTAACATTTTTGAAAAATCAGGTAAAATTTACATAACATGCAATTTACTATTTCAAATATTTTGAAATGTTTTTCATTACCGGAAAAAGAAATTCACACCTATTAAGCAGTCGCACTCTAATCACTGCCTCCCCCAGTTTCTGGCAACCACTAATCTTTGTGTCTCTGTGCACTTGCCTATCTTAGACATTTCACATAAATAGAATCATACAGTATGTGGCCTTTTGGGTATCTGGCTGCTTTGACTTATACACAACGTTTTCTTTAAGAGTTCATCCGTGTTGTAGCATGGATAGGTACTTCATTCCATTTTTATGGCCAATGTTGCTGATTATTTAATGTTTGGTTTCCCAGATTTAAGGAAATTTTTGCTTTTCTCTTAAGTTATCTATAGCTTATAGCAATTTGTTAAAGTATACCTTTGTGAACAAAGATGAAACTTACTTTTTTCTCCCTACCTGATCTCTCTGGAATTCAGAAACTATTAGCGAGTATTCTTATTTTCATGGCAATATAGTAATATGCATCAGTTCAATAAGATTTTGTTCTTGTAACAATATACAATTAGAGACATTGGTTATATTACTGAGGCTTTGACTGAAATGTCATATTTTCAGGTATGACCAGACAACTGTAAGGAACTGAGCTTGACCTTATGGAGCCAGTAAAGTTCCTTGGGAAAAACTGGCCTGGAACCTTGTATATGTTGAAGTAAACATTAAAATGTGGAGAAAAGTCTCGTTTTATTTGGGAACGAAGAATTGAAATTTGAGGTATATGTGTAGATTAGGTGGTCTTTCGTATGTCTGAAGAACAAACAGAAGGTTAGAGGTTTTATAAAAGAGAAAAGTTACCTATTGCTCTTTAAGAAAGTTCATTGGCACTAGTAAGGGTTTGGGGAGCTGGCAAGCTCTGACTGGTCAGCCACGGCAGTGGGCAATATTAGTCCTAGAGTTGTAGCAAGAAAGTTAGTTCAGAAGCTATAGATAAAACTGGTTTGGGATGACAACAAGCAGTTTCAGCAGTAAGGCTTGGAGAGAATTACATCTTTGGAGCAATGTATGTACACTGAATGCTTTTTGCCTGGCTTCTCAAGTCTGTTTCAGTTGGGTATGACAATAATTACCCAATTCCTATGATCAACTTTTATATATACATGGTCCTCTCCCATGGTTGCCTTACAGGTGAGTAAGGAATGTCACTTCCTTGCACTCCCAGGCAACTTAAGATGCTTTGGATCTTAAGAAACTTTGACCCTCTCAAAAAGAGAGGAATTCATCCAAATCTATAGGTATTGCTGGCAAAGTCTGATGGCAAGCCCTTGGCTTGGTTTCCCAGCCTCAAAAGGCTTTTAAAAGTCCAGTCGGATTCCTTATGAAAAGTTTCATGAAGCAAACTTAAAGAGAACCTATATATTAATATTCTTGCTATACTTATGTAAATAATCAGGCCACATTTACTGAATAGAGTTATTTTACAAACAAATTAGTCTGACTTTGATCATCTTTGATAGAAATTAGAGTGGTTTTAAAGAGAAACTTGTTTCAGTAGAAAACTATAACATGCCCTCTGGGTATCAAATTCTAGTCGACTTCATTGTCTTTGAAGACTATTTGCAAATTGAACTGGATCCTGTATTATTCTATTAAAAATAGTTTCCTCCAATATTTGGCTACAACTCTCCAAACTATTATTTCCAGTTTTTCTGCCATCCTCTGGCTTAGAGTAATGAAAAATTGATATTGCTCATTTTCCCAAAGCCCTACAAGCTGAAGTTGGAAAACTTGATATAAACTTAAAAGAAATCATTTTTGCACCTGCTACTGGGTGGGTCACTCAGAAACTTCAGCATAAACACCCAGTGCCATCACCAGAGACATTGAAACTGCCAACTAGTAAATCTGTTGGATCACCACTGCCATCCTCAAGCCCAACACCTAGAAACCTTCTTGACTGGCTGCCCTCTGGACTCAGAAACTGGGTTTCCAACTATTAATCTTTGCTTTTCTTTATTTTCATAGAAATTGACCTCATTAAATGTCTGACTGCTAGCACCATCAGCAAACATCCTCTGCTACTAAGATCTAACAGATGATCCTTAATGAACAAAAGATGACTGAATGAAAAAATGGGCTTAAATTGTTCAAAGGAAAGACTGTCTCTTCTTTCCTTGAAAAGAGGAGGAGATGACAAAGATTCTCTACGTGACCAAACTTAAGCTCCTAAGCTTTTATGTAGGCCCATCTGTGCACTTCCTTGTAATCCAGTTTTTTAATTAATTAATTTATTTATTTATTTAAGAGATGAGGTCTTGCTGTGTTGCCCAGTCTGGAGTGTGCTGGCTGGCTATTCATAATCACAATCGTAACATGCTGCAGCTTGGAACTCCTGGCCTCAAGTGACTCTCCAGCCTCAGGATCCCAGGTAGCTGGGACTATAGGCACACCACCTCACTAGCTAAAATTCAGTTTTAGCAAAGAACCCTGCTAAGTCAATTTGGCAAGAACACTTTACCTTCTATATCTGATCCAGTTCCTCATCCTTCACCATCTCCCAGGTGATGTGTCAACACCCTGATCTGTCTTCAGCAAGAATCCTGTTAGATGGGTTTAGCCGGAATCCCCTGACCCCTGATGTTACGTGTTTTTTTTTTTTTTTTTTGAGACAGAGTCTCACTCTGTTGCCCGGGCTAGAGTGAGTGCCGTGGCGTCAGCCTAGCTCACAGCAACCTCAAACTCCTGGGCTCAAGCGATCCTCCTGCCTCAGCCTCCCGAGTAGCTGGGACTACAGGCATGCGCCACCATGCCCGGCTAATTTTTTCTATATATTTTTAGTTGTCCGATTAATTTCTTTCCCTTTTTAGTAGAGACGGGGTCTCGCTCTTGCTCAGGCTGGTCTCAAACTCCTGAGCTCAAACAATCCGCCCGCCTCGGCCTCCCAGAGAGCTAGGATTACAGGTGTGAGCCACCGCACCTGGCCCTGTTACGTGTTATTAATAGTAATTTTCTATCCACTGACCTCCAGCCTGTTCCTTGGCTATAAATTCCGACTTGCCCATCCCATATTCAGAATTTAGCCCAACTCTCTCCCCCATTGTGAAATCCCATTGAAGTGGTTCGTATGCATATCACAATGGTCCTGAATAAAGTGTCATTGAAAAATATTTTTCCTTAACATTATGGGTATACCACATTTTGTTTATCCACTCATCAGTTCATCTTTTAGGTTGTTTCCACTTTGGAGCCATTATGAATAAATAATGCCACAATAAACTGAAGGAAGCCAGAATATGGCATCCCAAAATATGCCCCCTTAACATAAGAATTATTCTGAGCTAAAGGCAATTAAGAAGCAGGAAAATCTCTCTCAATTCTCCCCTTTTTTGCCTAAAGCCAGGATATAAATTTTCCTTTACTGGCTGTGATTCTAGACTTTTATTAACCCAGAGACTGCACCAAAGGAATCTGGAAACCTTACTCCATTATTTCCCCATGTATATTTACCTTCCCACAGTTTGCTGTTCTTGGAAGCCAAAAATCATCTTCATCCTGATATTTCTGTTTAAATGTATTGTTCCTTTGTTATGATGCCACATAAACCCAAGTTCTAACCAAACCTTTGAGTTACTTGCTCCCTGAGTTCTCACATGTATATATAGAATAAACATGTCAATAAACTTCTGTTTGTTTTTTTGTAGCTTGTCTGTATTGTTACGGAGCCCCAGCCAAGAACTTAGAAAGGTAGAAGGAAAAGAGATTTTTTTCCTCCTCTATAGAACATTCATATACAAGTTTTTATTTGAACTCCTATTTTGGGTGTTTTTTTATTTCAAAATATTAAGGGGGTACAAATATTTTTCTTACATGGATACCTTTTATGATGCTTAAGTCAGGGCTTTTAGTGTGCCCATCACCCAAATACTGTTCATTTGTTCACTATACCCAATAGGTAGATTTATACTCTTCCCTCCTCCCTACTTGAACCTCTGTTTTATAAGTCAGATATAAAGGAAGAAAGGAGAGGAGTCAATGGAAGTTCCAATAAATTAGAAAAAGTGTCGTGGTAGAAAAAGCTGAAAAGCAAACAGGAAAGACAGGAGGTTGATGTCATAATGTGAGATGTTTGAACTAATGATTTTGGAAATAATGACATATTCCATCTTGTGACTATGGGAGTAGATGTTTCTGGTAAGGTTGGGGGAGAAGGTGAGCAGATAAGATCAAAATGAGATTTGAAGTTGTTAGATGAGGTATCTACTTGTTCAGTGAAATTACCCATAACATTACCAAGAATCAGGGCAGGGAGAAATAACATGTGCCAAGGGAAAATTCATTGATGAATGAGAAGGAATGCTGAAGAAGGTGATAGAGAAAGGGAGATGTGGTAGAGCGAGGTAGTGTGAATCTTAAAGGGAGAGCACTTGGAAACAAGGAGAACACTCCCCTTCACTCCCATCCAGAGGTTGGTGCAGTGTAGAAGGTAACCTTCCTCATTTTCGAGGCTACAAGTGTAATGTTGCCCTCAGGGGAGAGCCAGATTTTATTTATACAAGGTCATGAAACATGCATGTAAAATAATCAGGTAGGACCAAGCTCATGCCTGTAATTCCAGCACTTTAGAGGGCCAAGGCAGGAGGATCACTTTAGGCCA